TAGTTATTCTTCCTAATATTTTTTCTCCCAAGTTAATTCTACTTCAGGCAGTATCTGTTTAGATTCCTGTATGATCCCATTGTTTACAACAGTTATGATCCACCTGAAAGATTTGCTATTCATTGTATTACTGTTCCGATTATGTTACTTTCTGGATAGGTAATGGCCATCGGAATACATTAATACGAAGCTAATCTGAAACGCAAAGCTAATATATTTATTTAGTTATTCTTCCTAATATTTTTTCTCCCAAGTTAATTCTACTTCAGGCAGTATCTGTTTAGATTCCTGTATGATTCCATTGTTTACAACAGTTATGATCCACCTGAAAGATTTGCTATTCATTGTAGGATAATACTTTTTTTCAGTCCTTGGATGGCGTGATTAACTGCTGAAGAAACTTGTTTTGCCTTGCAATACATATAGAGTTCTTTTAATCAGTGGAAGAATTTTACGAGGATTTTATTTTTGGTGGAGTGAACCGTCAGGCTTTTTTGCTTAGTTAGGAGACTTGTCACAATTTTCTTCAGAACTCCTTCAAAATTAATTTCCTATCGAAGCAGGTCAAGCATTTTTATGCAATTACGTGATGGATTTCGCAACCATTCACAATAATATGCTTAATAAACACTTTTCCCACATGAAACTCTATCTTTCATAATAATTCTTTCGTCATTCGGTATGAATTACTAGATTTATTAGCAATAGGTCCAGAATTTTTCTAACGATTCAAGAGGTGGTTTCGAGAATTTTTAATGATGCGCATGAACTTCGTTATCTATGTCCAAAATTATCGCGATGATTCGAGAGATAGTTTCGAGAATTTTCAACGATGTGCAGTGTATTGATTGCTAAAAAATTGTGGCAGATTCCGGTGAATGCCGCGCTGATGAGTTAGAAGAAGTATTTAAGGATGGTTCAACTTACTTCAATAGAGAGTGTTAGGAATCCTTAGTAACGCCTGTTTACCTTCGTCAGTCATTCTAAGTCTGCCTAAGTCACTCTTGAAGCTGTTACTCTCGGCCGTATTATTACGTGCCTTTTGATATTCGCCGGCTAGTTAAGTCTCGTTTAGTTAATTATAGTTTAGTTTCTTATTTCTGTGTTAAAGCCTGAGTAGAGGCTTCCTGTAAGCCCGCGAAAAGGCCGACTGTTATTATTATTATTTGAATGAAATAAAGGGTATTTAACTCTTCTCGAGTCTACGTCTTAATTGTTCTGAACTCAGTGATAAGTCGCTACACAGTTCACTAGGTTCCTCGAAGTTCTCCTCATACCAGCAGTTCTCAACCTTTTAACTAAAGCGTACCATATAAACAAAAATTTAAAACCTTTAGTACCACCACTACAAAGTACTACTTCCACAACAGCGGTTCTCAACCTTTTTAATAACGCGTACCATATAAACAAACATTGAAAACCTTTAGTACCACCACTACCACAAAGCTCAGAAAAAGCTTGAACAAAGCTCAGATCGCATAAATTTACGAGTGTTAGAGAAAAAAACTCAGTCAGGATGTCGGGGTTTTAATTTTTGAATTTAATAGTTAAAAATACTTTGCTTCTTTGCGTACCACCTATTTTTCTCTTGCGTACCACCAGTGATACGCGTACCACCGGTTAAGAACAACTGCCTTAAACAAAAGGAGTGAGGAACTCTACAGTAGAAATAAAATTAACATTTCTGCTGATATAAGAATATCTTAATAGCTAACTTCTGTTTAATAGTTTGGTACTTTTATATTAAGCAAAATGTAGATGAAACTCTTTTCAGCCTTTTTAGCGGAAGTACATTTTTTCTTTGGGTAGCACAGGGTTTCTTAAACTATGGGTAGCGACCCCCTTGGGGGTCGCTGGACCTGCAGCAGGGGTCGCCAAAAATTTTAGCAGTTGTGATATTTCTTTAACTTATTATAATAATTTTACAATTGCCAAATATTTTTACACAATGTATCTGAAAATATATAAAGATAAGACAGCTCCATGGAGGTAAGAAAGGAAGGAGTGGCCAACCGGCACTAGAAGTGAAGCACTCCTTCGAAGCTTCGGTCACCAGATGGGGTGTTCTTTGTTTACATTCAGAAGCTCGCTTGACAGTGTTCTGATAGTATTTCGACATACGACAGTTCCGTACAAATCGAAAAAGGGACACTTTCACATGAAAGAAACATTCATAATGTGATAGATAATAGCAATTTGTATAGCTTAGCGACATTTACGCAAAAATCACATCTTGGTTATTTTTCGATAACTAACAACAGCGATTTTGATTCAGAATTTGTTTTATAAAATTCTAAGCTGTTGAACTACAAAAATATAGCATTAATTATAAAAATGTTATGCTTAAAGAATGAAAAATACCTTACGGTACCTTTAAAATTGTATACGTCTTTCAATACCCTTAATAGAGTATTCGCTACTTTTATTTTATGTTCCAAACGCCAAAATGTTTTAAATAAAATAAATTTTTTTTCACATCCATATATTATTGTAACATGTACCTTTTAAAATTTTTTAGAGGAGAGGCTTTACTGCTGCTCATTTTAATTTTATATACCTGAAAAATAATCCCTTTGGGCTTGCACGTTTTACTTATTTGGGTTAATTAAAAATAAAATATAGTGAATGCACAGAAATTAAAGATTTGCACATGCCGGAAATGAAAAAATATGAAATATGAGTGGGTATTTATGCATGTGCTTGCAAAAAGCATATATCTGCCTTTATCAAAATACATAAATATGCATTAATTTATTTATAAATGTATTTGAAATGAAGAATTTATTCATTTATAAACAACTGTGAAGAAATCTAATTATTAAATGTATCTAATTTATAATGATTATAAATGTTATCTAAATATATAATAACCTTAGTATTGAATTGTAAACATAAATTGAAATTCTGTTGACAAATACGTTATAAAACTATTTCAGCAAGAATTGTTCGTACTGGAGAGCAATCTGTTAAAAGGTATTGTAAAGCAAATGCTATGAGATGCGCACTTAAGAAAGTAATAAAGAGTTTTGGAATATGTATTGTTAAAATTAAGGGTAAAAAAAATCTGATAAGTATAATTAAAAGAATTATTCCCCTTACATTTTATAATAACTCAGTTACAAATTTTAAATAATACTTTAAAAAAAAATCCTTATTTTATTCCCTTCAGAAATGCTCAGATAAAGTTAAGTACTATTAAAGTATTTCGCTAATTTCTAATAATTCTCTAATTTAAAACGAACCGAATAGAGCATTAATTATAAATTGACTTATATTTTCGATTTAAAAAGATGCCTCAGAAGCCAAATAATCATGTCATATTTAAGAAAGTATTTTAGGAAGAAGCTCTATAAATAGAAAGGAATAATGCATAATTTTAATACTAATAATACAATAAACTTTGATCTTAAATTTTGTACCTTAACCGAATAAAATCGAATTACCTTAATTTTTTTTTCTAATGTAATTAACGAAAACTTGTGAAAATATTTCATTCAAATTAAACCACTCTGAGAAAACTGTTCTGCGAAAAGTATAGCATTTAATTCCATTCAGAATGAAATGTTGTTTAAAAATATGTTGTTTTCATATACTTAGGACTCTGAAGTGTTGTAGAAAAAGAAAATATATACATTTATATGTATATTTACGACGTAATTACAAAATATTTACATCCGATCGCGTCAAAATGACCCAATGTTTTGGTCACCACGTAGGGATCGCCGGTGCTTCAGAGCAGGACGCGTATTCTATGATCACTGGATCTGTCTACAACTTGAGGGAAGGAATTCCGAGTATGGACGCGGACGAGGACGGTCGCTCGCTTTGCGAACTCCCGCCGACACAGCCTTCAACTATGGAATTTTGTGAGTCTTCACAACAAAATGTGCAAAATACCAAATTTGATACTTCGCCTGTGCAATTGTGTACTACAGTGAGCAATTCGCAACCAGAGCAAATCACCCCTGCACCGGATGATGAACGGGGAAGACTTGTCAACCAGTTTTACGAACTCAAACATCAGTTCGAATCAATTCAGAAGCAGAGAAACTTCATGAGACGAACACCGACTCCTGTGGATACTGCCAGCTACAATCAGCTTGACAATGCTGGTAAAGTACTTTTTCATAAGATCAACGAGATAGCGAACGTGTTAGAAATTCCTATCTTTCACTTGCCTCCGACCAGAGATGAATTTCTAAAAATCATCGAGACTGAGCGGTTAGCCAAAATGGCCGCTACAGCCGTTGAAAATCCTCTCCCTCCCCAAACGGAGGCGAAAACGACCCACGAGATCCGAGGAAAACCTGTTTCTGCCCGTAAGCACAAGACGCAAACAGTGGACTCTGAGGGGTTTATCACTCCCGCCACTAGAAAAATGGGAAAAACCTCCCATAATTGATTTAACTTTGGATAATAACAGTAACCAAACTACTATTCAAAATTCAAATACTTCTATTTCAAATTCTCACTTAGCTAGTACTAATATTGCTAGAAAAAACAGCAAAAACAAGTATGAAGCTATTAAAGAATGGCTCATCAACAGCGGTGACCCCGTCAAGGAGCAAACCCCCGAGGGAGAAACCAGTTCCGAGCAGGCACGGAGCGTTCCCCCCCTCCACCACAGCCGTCACCATCGGGATAGATAAGGCCTGCGCTCTGAATCGAAACTGTCTTGTGACGTCACGGTTAAGGGACCCTCAGCAATAACTCACACAATGATACTCCCCGAAACTTTCTCCGTATTCTTTGTCACATCTACCTCTTAACGCTGTTACCGTAGCCACCTGCCTCTTAACTCTGTTACCAGTAGCCACCTGCCTCTTAACAAGACATTCTTAACTGTTACTGTTAGACATACTTCACACGCTCTTGTTAGATGCTTAGATTTCGTTAGTTTTATTAACATTTGTGCATTATTCATTGCTTTTTCAAGTTGATTGCTTAGTGATACATTTTTGTTTCTGCATATTTTCGTGCGAAATTGTGTTATCAGCATTATGCCTTCCCATTGTATTGTTCCTGGATGCAAAGGAAATTATGATAATGGTCCTCGTGTGAGAGTCTACAGTTTTCCATCTAATGAAATTTTAAAGAAGAAATGGCTTAAAGCTATACCTCGGAGCAATTTTAAATTAACGAAAGCTTCAAAAGTTTGCGAACTTCATTTCAAAGATGAAGATATTGAGATGGAGACAAGTGCATATGATCCATCCTCTGGAAAAAAAATAAGTGCACCTCTTTCACGTTCTCGATTAACGAAAGAAGCAATACCATCTCTATTTCCGGGTTGCCCTGCATATTTATCCTATCAGAAACAGAATCGAGAAGCTCTGCATGATAAAAAAAACAGTACGATTACAAAATCAGCAACTGCATTTGGCTCTAAAGGAAAGCATTAAAACGAAATCAGAAGAAGAAGCAAAATACATGTTTTCAACATATGCAAGTTTTTTAAAGTGCTTAGAAATTCAGCAAATCCCGTTATTTTGGTCTATAATCAGAAAGGAAGATGAGACATTATTTATTCACATCAGTACTCAAGCAGCACCAGTTATTGAAGCTTCTGTTGTTCTTAAATATGATTTAAGTGTCTCAGCATTTATTGGTAATGCTGCAACAAAATCATGCAAAGAACGTAACTTTCCGGTGAAAGTTGGATATATCAGAAACCTCCAAGAAGTACCACATGGTGTACAGTCTCTGTTAATACCTGTAGCTCAAAATGATGTTCAGTCAATTTTGGAGTTATTGGGCCTTTTTAAACTAAATGATGAAGGCGAGGAAACTGTTATTAATTTTTTGGTCGAATAAGTTTCACTTTTCTCGGGCAATAAAGTTAAACGGAGATACTTACCAGAAATGCTAATGTTTTCAACTTCATTGCATTCCATATCTCCACACGCGTATAAGTTTTTACGACATTCGGGAAATATAATTCTTCCCCATCCGGCAACAGTTAGAAAAATTTGTACTGAATTTAATACAAGTCCCTTTAAAGAGCAATTTGAAGTAAACTTCCTTCATTATGCGAGAGATAAATTTGTGGAACTTCAACCTCATGAAAGAATTGTTTCTGTAATGATGGATGAAATTCATATTAAACCATATTTAGATTTCAGAGGAGGTAATATTGTTGGCTCTTCTTTTAACACTAAGGATGCAGCAACAAGTGCTTATGTTTTCATGATCCAGAGCTTACTCTCCCAGTATAAAAGATGTTGTGCATATTTTACCTGGTGAAAACCATAACAGCTGATATATTGCACTTTATACTTAAAAAGATTGTAATAGGATTAGAGAATATAGGGATTTTTCGCTGGTTTGTGTAGTAAGTGACAATAATTCACACTCGATCGTAAAGCTATGTGTTATTTCTCAAATCCACCAAAACTGAGTATCGTTTATCCTCATCCAGTGAAAACAGACAGACCCTTATTTTATGTAATTGATGCAGTACATATATTAAAATGTATACGAAATAACTGGTTGAATCAGAAAAACTTAAATCAGTGTTTTCAATACCCAGATTTTGAGACATTTGAAAATAATGTTATTATGAAAACTGCATCTTTGTATACTCTCAAAAAACTATATGAAGCTGAAAAGAATAATTTAGTTACATTTAATCGCTCTTTGACTTTTAAATCTCTTAACCCATCGAATTTAGAGAGGCAGAATGTCAAACTGGCATTGCAAGTTTTTAATGAACATGTAGTGAATGCTCTAGTAGAACTGGAAGAAAAAATAATCTGCAATTTGCCAAAGAAGCCGGAAATTTTATTAAAATAATTCATGTTTGGTGGTGCATTATAAATGTAAAAAGTCCCCATAAAGGAATACGACTAAGAAATGAAAATATGAATCCATTAACTAATTTGCCTGACGATGAAAACGTGAAGTTCTTAAGTCAATTTTTGAATTGGCTGGATGTTTGGAAAAGCATGGGATGCACTACAGGGAATTTTACGAAAGAAACTCATCGTGCTCTTACTCACACAACTCATGCTTTGTTGGAAATGAAGGAGTATTGTATCGAAGAGCTGAAAATGAAATATTTTCTCTGTGGAAAAATACAAACTGATTCTTTAGAAGAGAGATTCGGAAAGTATAGATTTTTAGCTGGATCGCAATATCATGTCTCAGTGAGGCAAATATTTGAATGTGAGTCCAAACTCAGATTACAAAACACTTTTTCATTGAGATCTGCAACTTTTGGTCAAATTACTATTGATGAATTTAATGCTGTGTCTTCATGTGAAAAGGAAGATGAAGTAATTAATTACTTGAATATTGATGTAACTAATGAAGATATTTTAGGCATCGAAAGTGTAATACCAGTTTTGACATACCTTGCAGGATTGTGTTTATGCCATATGCAAAAAAAACAGAAGTGTTCATCATGTCTGTCACAGTTTTCAATTGATAAAGAACTGATATGCGAAGATTCATATCGCTTAATTTCAAGTACGGATAGAGGATGTTTAAAGTATCCTCACCCAGACATTGTGAATATTATTGTGCATTGCTATATAGTAGTTCAAAAACTTCTTTCTGAGAAATACGAAAATGAATATTTAAAAGTTCAAAATCAACGAAATTTTGCAGTGACTCTTGCATATTCTATTATAAATAGGCTAGAATTATTTAATTCAATTGATATATGTGAGTTAGGTCATACTGCTGAGTATTGTGTGAAACAAATTTTGTGAGTGTGCATAAACATTTTACTTCAGAATTACTGTTGTAAAAAAATGATAACTATAGAAAACTCTGTGTTAAAAAGAAAACTACAAACACTACAGAAAGTAAATATCTAAAATAAGGTATTTATATTTTAGAAAACATTCCATTGCATTTAAAAAATATCAGTTATTTTATTGCATATTTATTTGTAAACTTTTTGTTGGCTTTTTATAAGTTGTAATTTTTTATTCATTATGATTTAAGGGAGGAATTTATGTTTACTTTTGACATCTGAAGCATCATCCCTTGTAATAATTACTAAGACTAGTAATATAAAAATTGTCAGCAAAATTTATGATTATTTATTTTAATTGGAAACTAATTTTATATGAAATAACTGTCCTAAGGGATTAAAAGCATAACACTTATTTCATTACATAATATGTAGAATATCAAATGCTGAGTAAATTTGATTCATGACATAGTACTGTGTTCTTAAATTTAAATATCAATGCTTTTTTCAAATCATTAAATATCATTTTATCATGATGAAACTTAAATGCATATTTTTAGCTAATATAGCTTCTGTTCACTTTTATATATGTTATTATCATGCAATCAGTTTGTTTAAAATTTGTTATGCAATATAAATCTTTCTGAGAATGATAGAAAAATTTCGAAAATAATGTATGTAAGATTCATATTAAGGTAATTAAATTGCGAAACTGAAAACTGAAATTTTAAAAATGTACAGTTATTGAAGAAGCAGTAGTAATTGAATTCATATGTAGATATACTTGTTTTCATTGTATTTCAATTCAATGCAATTTTAAAAACAATTTTTTTCTAATTATCTTTTGAATTAAAATCTTTAAGTTGAGTACATGGCACCACCAAAAAGATATGTAAGGTAAGTTAAAAAAAGTTGCATACATTACAAAAAAAAGTTTTGAACATGACGTTAAGATTTATATTTTCTTTTCATGTGGAAATTAATAGAAAAGATATTTTCAGAACAGAGGTAACGCTTATAGTTAAATAGGTATAATGTAAATATTTGCAAGAAATTTCTGTTTCTAAAAATGTTTTAAGTATTTCATATATTTTAAAGATATTTTCAAAAAAATTGTGTATAAGTTTATTTAAAAAATTTTTTCCTGTCTTATTTGGAATTTAATATTGATAGTCTTCAGAGCTATGTAATAAACATTATCTCAAACTACAGATTCTGTCGAATAATTATGTAGCATTAAGAGGAAAACATTAACTGTAATACAGAATTAACATACAATATGTAAGTAGTAAGAATAATTTTAAAGGTAGACTATTTAGTAATTTATTACATTCAGAAAATTTTTCTGACTGTTATAAGGCATTTAAATGTTAGTCTAAATATTAAGTAGTCTCTTGCCATTCGTTTGATATTTTATAATCCTGCTACATTAATATGATAGATATAAATAAAAATATGCAATAATTATTGAGAGATATATTTGTTCCGACTGGCTAACATTTTGTTAAAGTAGTGGGTGAAACAAAAAATTTGATGCGGTGGTGAGAATCAAGGGAGACACAAAGGCAGTACAGAAAAATCAAAATCAAATTTTTTGCTACTTGAATTTTAAAACTAATTTTTCCTTCAAAGAAATGATTTGCTTTTAAAAGCACCACAAACCATTCTCAAATAATTTTTGTTTGAAAATAAATACCAACAAAAGAAAATGAAAATATTTCATATTCGTATAAGCTTTGTAAAACATTATATTGCCGCTTGTAATTTTGTTTTAGACTGATTTTATAGTATGAGATACCAATTTCATAGAATAGGTTTAGAAAAACTGGTGTTTAGCAAGGAAGGTAAACTGCACGAAGACCAGTCCCCTAGCAGTGACGTAGTAACTCAGCGCGCAGGCTTTATCTATCTCGATGGTGACGCCACAGCCTCAAAATCAAATCCCGGCTATTCATATGAGGAGTAGCAAGAACTGGAAGACCCAGGTGTCTTTCTTAAGAGAAATTGCCCCAAACCTTAATAATACTCTCACTGGACCATATTTAAAAATTTTTGTACAGACTGAACTGGAGTTCAGGGAGGTCACACGTTGGATGAAGCAAGCCGGCATCCAATTCAAAACTTTTGATCTTTAAACAGGACCGGCCAGTCAAAATTGTAGTCAGAGGCCTCCTGTGGAAACTGATGTCGAGGACGTCAAAGAGGAAATCGAGTCACTGGGAATTTAAAGTGCATCGCTGCGTTCGGCTTTACCAGCCAGGCTCCAGACATCCTATGCCACTTGTTTATGTACAAGTCATCCCACACCCTTTCCTCGACCAACTGTTTGCCGTCACTGACATGTGGGCACAGAGGTCAGCATTGAGCGTTATCGCGGCCGAAAGGGCCCTACTCAATGCTTTAGGTGCCAGGGATTTTTCCATTCTTCGGAACTCTGCACTTTGCCAATCCGTTGTGTGAGATGCTCTGGACCCCACTGGGCACGTGAGTGCACCAAGGGGTTTGATGTACCTGCAACTTGCTGCAACTGTGGTGGAAGTCATCCAGCCTCATATAAATCTTGTCCTCGACACCCAGCTAATAAGCGGTCTCGTGGAAAGAAAACCACACTTAAAAATAGGACAGCGGCTCAGACAGCCCCCCTCAAGGTTCTTCTAAGCCCCAAGCACAAGCTACTAAAGTACGTCCCATGCCTGCTCCCCCTAACGACGTCAACTCACTGTCGTATGCAACGGCGGTGAAGAAAGCCAACGGGCACGGATTCAGAGCTCAGAATCCAAGACTGCCGGCCGCAGAAAAATCTGTAGCCCCAGCAGTATTAACCTCAGCAGAGTGTGCAAATGATTCCGAAGATGTCTTAGCATCCACACTAAAATGCTTGATTGAAATCTCCCGCGACCCTACGGTAGACAAGCATATTCTGCTCCAAGCCTTCAAAAGAGCTATGCCAAAGCTTAGGCAGGCAGACGCTCTGATGAGGGCCTTTTACTTATATGAAAGCTATATCGAGCTTTCAAATTAATTTCGACCTTCATTAGTGTAGAAAAAAAGAGATAGAGGGCGCTGCGCCGCCCGTATGTTTAGCTAATTAAGAGTTTCGGCAGAGAGGGTTGAGAGGTTGATGAGAGTGGTTGAGAGTGGCATAAGCTAGATACTCTGTAATCTGTATATAATATTTGTACATAGTCTTCTCTTCATTAAATAGATTTAGTTAAAGGAAAGTGTCTTTGTTTGGCCAATAGAACACAAGAACCACCGATAAAGAAGATGTAAGTAAGTTATTACATACAACAAGTTTTTGGTAGCATCAGGCCGGGAAGGTGAGTCATTTCATTTTATCTGCATGCAATTTATCTTTTGATAATGAGTTTTGAAGAAACCGTCGAGAGAAATAGAAAAATTAGAGGTTCGGTTCGTACCAGTGTAACAAAATTAATAAGGAAATTAGATGAGGAATTGCAAAGCGAGAATCCGAACCTAGAAGTGTTGCAAGAATCACTTTCAGTGTTAATCGAGAGAGAAACTAGCTTGTTAAAATATGATGAAGTTATTAATGCTCAAAGCACTGTTCAGGAATTAGAGACAGAAGTAGAACATTGTTTAGAATACAGCGAATCCATCATTAGATGTAAATCTAAAGTCAATAGATATATTCAAAATGTGGGTAAAACCGGAACAACTTCACAAGTTTCGGAAATCAAAACTAATTATAATACTAAATTGCCTCGCATTACCTTAGAAACTTTCAGCGGCGATTTATGTAAATTTACTGAATTTTGGGCTCAGTATAAAGCTGCCATTCACGAAAACAATACGCTTCAAGATGTTGAGAAGTTTAACTATTTAAGATCTTTACTCACCGGTTCAGCTGCAAAAGCTATAAGCGGATTGCCATTAATAGGAGAAAACTATATAAAGGCCATCGAAATCTTAACTGACAGATTTGGGAAAAAAGAAATATTAGTTAGCGCGCATATGAACGTTCTACTAGCTTTAGAGCCAGTACGCCGTTCAAGTGATGTATCCAGTTTAAGAAAACTATATGATGAAATAACAGTTCAAACAAGAAGTTTAGAGACATTAGATATTAATTTTAATTCTTACGGCAATCTATTACTTCCTATTTTATATAAGTGTATACCGCAAGATTTAGTGTTACAGTTTAGTAGGGAGCAAAAGGTCGACACAGAGTCAACAGTGTCAGTCTAAAGAGTTGTTGTTTATTTATTATTATTTATTTATTGTTGTTGTTTCTAAAGAGAGAAGTAGAAGCGCGCGAAAAGTCATTAACTCTGGGTCTTAAACAACAAACACTTTCGATAACCAGTGAAAGAAATACCGACAACTATCGTAAGAGTGTTGCTCCAATTAAAAAGAAAATGGTATCAGCGGCGACGCTTAATACATCAGTCGAAAATTATATGTGCGACTTTTGTCTTAAATCTCACCTCTCAAAAGACTGCGACTTAAGTATTTCAGAGAAACACAAAGCATTATACGATCAATTTAAGTGCAAGCGCTGTTTAAAAAAGGGTCACAAAAAAACCATTTTGTAAGGCAAAATGGGTTAAATGTAATATTTGCAAATCTTTGTCGCATTTAGAGAGCCTGTGTGATGCAGAAGGGCAAGAAAATAAATCCATTAAAAATACTGCGAGCGCAGCAAAAGAGACAAACGTTAGTTCACTATTCCTCGAAACACTGAGCAAGCAAATTCCTAATGACGTGATTTATTATCAAACATTGAGAGGTCAACTGGTAGGAAATAATTCCACATTTAACGTTAGGTTGTTATGCGATTCTGCTTCCGAAAGATCTTATGTTTGTCAGTCTATTTCCAGAAAAGCAAGTTTACCAACTATTGGTAAAGAAAGATTAAGAATTCATACATTTGCATCTTCGAATCCGCCAGTGCGAGAATTTAAAAGAAAAAGACTTTCTCTAAAAAATAAGACCGGGTTCACTCTAATCATCGAAGCACTCGAAGTAAAAACCATATGTTCCAATGCATTACCCAGGCCATCTGCAGAAATTATAAACAATCTTCGCCAACAAGGATTTCACTTATCTGACAGCTTGCGATAGTGAAGTGGCAGAGGTACAGATTTTAATTGGGAATGATTACTTGAACTGCATTCTTAACGGGGAAAACACATCGGTTAACAGACTATTTAGTACTGCATGAAAGCATATTCGGTTGGACACATTGAGTGGTAGAGTGGGGGGAGAGAGTAAGAAGTTAAGTTCAGGGTCAGACTCCACCGGCTTGTTTATACACACATCGATTCGGAAGAGGAATTAAAAATATCGGAACAGATTCGTCAGCTTTGGGAGATTGAAAGTCTAGGAATCTCTGAGTGCGCGTCGGAAAGGGGTTCTGGCGATGAGCGAATAATTAAACAATTTGAAGAGGATTTGAAATATGTAGAGACGGAGGTATGAGGCTCGCTTGTTGTGGAATAGGAGTCCAGAGCATTTGGAAAATAATTTTGGTTTAGCGAAAAGGCAGTTCGAAAGGGTGCAGCGAGAGTTAAAAAGGTAACAGCTTTGTGAGGGAACAGTTTTATGGAAATAATTAAATTTCAGACACAAAACAACATTATTCAAGAGTGTGAGGATACGAGAGAGGGATACTTTATGCCATTCCGAGCAGTGGTCCGTAAAGATAAAAAAAGCACTCAAGTTCGAATGGTATTTAATTGCAGCAGTTGCGAAAGAGGAAAGCTATCGTTAAACGATTGCTTAGAAAAGGGCCCAAACCTAAATCCGATATTTTTGGATATCATTCTTTTCCTTTCGAAAATTTAAAATTGGATTCTGCGGTGACATAGAAAAGGCGTTTTTGATGATTGGGATAGCAAGGGAAGATAGGCAATATTTAAAATTTCTCTGGTATCCTGATAATGACAGTGAGGACTTTAAAATTATGCAAATGAACAGAGTATTATTTGGATGTAATTGTTCACCGTTTTTATTGAGTGCAACGATCAACATCATTTAAAGAAATATGCGGAAACAAACAAAAACTGTGTCGAGATGCTAAATAGCTCACTGTATGCAGACGATTTGTGTTATGGAGGGGAAAGTGTAGAATCAGCTTTCAGTCTTTCATCAGAGGCGGTATCTATTTTGAGAGACGCGAGTTTTAATTTGAGAAAGCTAAACACTAATTCTAAAGAGCTGTATGACTTGTGGGTTCAGAAAGGGTTGTATGAAGAAAGTAGGTCTGAGAGAGATAGTAATTTGAAAGTGTTAGGCTTGGTGTGGAACTTAGAAGCGGATGGTTTGAGAGTAGACGTTACATCATTGTTGAGTAGTTGGAATCGTTGAAAAATAGTAAAAGATCGATCGGTGTTAAGCACAGCAGTTAAGGTGTTTGACCCAGTCGGATTTATTTCTCCATTTGTGGTGCGAGTTAAGAGGCTGATGCAGGAAATATGGGAGAGAGGTTTGGAGTGGGATGCAGAGTTGCCAAAGGAGTTACGGTGCAAATGGATAAAGTGGTGCGCTGAAATTGAGGAATTAAACGCGTTGAAAATAGAGAGGTACTACTTTACAGAAGTTCTAAGTAAAGGTCAGTCGGTTGAAATTCATATTTTCAGTGATGCGTCAGTAGTGGCATATGGAGCGGTGGCATATTTTAGATATAAGAATGAGAGAGGAGAGGTATGTACGTCGTTTATAATGTCGAAGAGTAGGATAGCTCCGTTAAAAAAGTTGTCCCTCCCTAGGTTGGAATTGATGGGGGCTGTAGTTGCAGCTAGGTTAGGAAAATATTTATTGAAAATGTTTCAGGATTTGGTAGGTAGGTTATTTCTGTGGACGGACTCCGAAATTTGCTTGTGGTGGATAAAGGGGTCAGCGCGTGAGTGGAAGCAGTTCGTGTCGAATAGAGTTGCAGAAATACAAGACTGTACCTCGCCTGATAAGTGGAAATATTGTCCAGGGTCGGAAAACCCAGCAGATAAATTAACTCGTGGTGAAACAGCAAATGCATTGGTGAAAGATAATAACTGGTGGCATGGTCCATCATGGTTGAAAGATTCTGAAGATCAATGGCCTGAGCAGAAGTTTAAAGTAGAAACTGATACTCAAAATTTGGAACGTTTAAGCACTTATGTTCAGGTGACTATTCCAGAAGAAGAAAATGCGTTAGACATTACCAAATTCAGCAGTCTCGAAAAAATTGTTGAGAGTTACAGCTTGGGTAAAGCGGTTTGTCGCCAAGCTAAGAAAACGTGCCTGTGAAGAAGGTCCTCTTACTGTATTGGAGATCCAAGAAGCTGAGGAGTACTGGATAAAACAAGTACAGAGAGCGAATTACTTTTCGGATATTCAACAACTAGAGAGGAATAATCTAATAACACCAGATTCTAAGCTTTACAGTTTAGCACCATATCTGGACAGTAGAGGTATTTTGCGTGTCAGAGGTCGTTTGGAACAATCAGAATTAATAGATGACGAAAAACAATCCCATTATTCTGCCCAAAACGAAGTTCACCGAACTAGTGATATTAGTGAACACATAAAAGTATTCCATTCAGGAGTCATGGCAACATTGTCCAAAGTCAGGAATAAATTTTGGATACCTAAAGGAAGACAAGTAGTTATTAAAGCTTAATAACAAGAAAGTTATTAACGCTTGCCTGGTGTGTAAAAAGTTCGCAGTGAAGCCCGCCAAACAGTTAACGGGTCAGTTACCCAGAGATCGTGTAGTCCAAAGTAATCCTTTCACAGTTGTAGGCATCGACTTAACGGGAGCAGTTACTATTAGAGAAAAAGCGGATAACCACAAAAAGGTGTACATAGCCTTATTTACATGCGCCGTCACTCGTGCTGTACACATTGAAGTGGTTTCAGATATGTCAGCAAAAAGTTTCATTTTTTCATTACGACGTTTTTTAGCAAGAAGAGGGAGCTGCAAAGTGATTTATTCAGATAATGCCAAGAATTTCCGCAGCACATGTGAAATAATTAAAGGATTTAAAAGAATCAAAGCAGATCCAAGTGTGAGTGATTTCTTGACATCCAAAGAGGTAACATGGAAATTCATACCTGAGCGTTCCCCATGGTGGGGAGGGTTCTGGGAGCGTTTTGATGAGAAGCATCAAGGAACCTCTGAAGAAAATCTTAGGGAGAGCATTACTGACTTTCGAAGAGCTCTCTACAATATTAACTGAACTCGAGTGTGTGCTAAATAATAGACCTCTAACATACGAGAGCAACGAGCTGGGTGAACCTCGCCCGCTCACACCTTCACAGTTTTTTATTGCCAGGACGTGGTACATTTAACTTTCCCGAGCATTTCTTGGAAATTTTTAACAAGGTATCCGACAAAGAGACTTTAACCAGGAGGAAGCTTTACCAATCCAAGCTCTTAAAATTAACATGGATCAAGTGGAAAGAGCAATATTTACTCCATCTTAGAAATGCGCATAACTTTGCTAATCCTAAAACTGAGCGGAACCTTAAGACTGGAGACGTTGTGTTGGTAGAAGGACCAAAACAATCCAAACTACTTTGGGACATGGGTGTAATTGAAAACGTGATTATAGGAAGAGATGGACATGTTCGAGCGTGCCTTGTTCGCACGCCCAAAGGACAATTCAGAAGATCGATCCAGATGTTATATCCTTTCGAGATTTAAAATTTAGAACTTTTGATATTATTGAGTTTTATTATATTATTAATTATTATGTTCATTTGTGGCTTTGATATATACTAGTA